TCTCTCTCTCTCTCTCTCTCTGGGCTGTGGATCTTGCATCGCCGGATGCTTTCAAGCCCAATCTGGAAACCTAGGTCCTAGGTCAGAAGAAAGATGGACTAGGACTAGGGTCGGAATCATGTTTACATAGACGGATGCACTGTTGCAAAGAACCCCATATCAAGAGTGAAGTGTGGAAGTATCGGTGGTGCTATCCACAGGGCTCCTTGTAACTATAGTATAGTATAGCACCAAGTGTGTTGTTCAAGCATATATATATATATANNATACATATATATACATACATATCTACACTCATGTATTGGAATATGTCATAATAATAAACGTATTCTACTGTCTCCCTGCTGGAGACCCAGCGAGAAGGTCACAAGCTTCCACAGCTCCAGAGGAAGTCTCGAAAGTTGTCACTTCCCCGGTGCGAGGTGGTTAGGCACACTCTGGTCGTAACAAGATGCAGGCGCAAGGCTGGGAACTACACGGTCAAGAAACCCTAAACCCTAAACCCTAAACCTGAGGGCAAGAATGGCACCATGCCACATGTGCAAGGCAGAACCGTCTCTCGGAAGCCCCTGGCAAATTTCGGTGGGTCAGCCGCGCCTGTTCCAGAAAGCTCCGCAACACCATGAAGCCTTGGATGGCTGCGAAAATATAGTGGTAGGTGTAGCAGTAAACGAGCACCATTTGAATATCCATCACGAAGTCAGCCACGCAAAATCCCACTTCTGTCAACATCGACAGCCGGCTGAAAAACGGGCCGTACCATGTTTGGATACTTCCGTTGGCTGCTAGCTCCTCCTGAATCGCGAGCTCCTCTTTCTCCTTGGCTGACTTCTGAACCCCTCCGACAAGCCAGTGTAGGAACCTACAAAATTAAAGTCTTAAGACCCCCTAAACCCTAAACCCTAATAGTTCCTGTAGCAACCCCCCAAAACTGAAAGTTCTAAGACCTAAGAGCAGAAGAACGCCAAGTCTCTATAGCCCTGTGCATGTCCACATCGAAAGGGACGGCCCAGGGGTTCCCGGCACAAATGCAGGGTTTAGGGTTTAGGGTTTAGGGTTAGGGTTTAGGGTTTAGGGTTTAGGACTCGTCACAAGCCAGAGGACAGGACCAGAAATGCAAAAGATGACCAATACCTGCTCTAACATGCCATGACATACTGTAAGACCTGCTATAATATGCCATGACATACTATAAGACCTGCTATTATATGCCATGACATACTATAAGACCTGCTATAATATGCCATGACCTAAATTATGACCTGTTATAATATGCCATGACCTAAATTGTGACCTGCTATAATAGGCCATGACCTAAATTATGACCTGCTATAATATGCTATGACATACTATAAGGTATTGCCAATGCCGCATTACCCTTTACCCTAAACCCTGAACCCTAAACCCTAAACCCTGAACCCTAAACCCTAAACCCTGAACCCTAAACCCTAAACCCTGAACCCTAACCCCTACATTACGTCGGGTGTGTCTAGGGAAGCACCAAACCTACAGGCGTGCCCACGAAGCCCTGGATCCCCCGCCTCGATCAGGCAATGCCCACGAATTATCTTGAAAACATATGGCCTTAGGAGTTTAG